AAGCAAATCAGCTACTCTCACATTAACCAAAAAAAGGCTGAATTGAGCCTCAGGCAGGGCAGGATGTGGCACAGGGAGGCCCCAGGCAGGGAAGGGCAGATTCCCCCCAGCTCTCTCTGCAATGCCCTTCCCCAAAAACTGGAGCCATGGGGAGGGGGAAAAGAACCCCACATCCCCCCATCTCCCTCACCTCGCCCTGTCCATCCCCCCTGGAGAAGCCAGCCCAGCTCCAGCCCTGCCCGGACGCAACAGTTGGGGAGTAAACTTTACTCGACTGTTTCTCTCATGACTCATTTCTCCTCTGTCCAGACAGGGTAGGGAGGGGGAAAGGGGGAGGCAGGCTTATCTTTCCAGAAAAGCGGCTCTAGCCAAACCGTGCTGGAGAGCACGGAAAAAACTAGTCGCTGCGGTTGCAGCGCAAGCTCTTCCCAGTCCAGAACGCTCCTCCGATAGGAGCTGACACCTCCCGAGGGGATTTTCCATGAACCACTCCCCAATCCCCTGGGTCCTTCCTGCACCACAGTGCAGTGCCAAGGCATCGGAGAAATTAATACCAAAGAAAAATGCTGCTGGACAGGTTGAGCATAGGAGAGTCCTTGAGAAAAGCAATCGCAGGAGGCCCCCCCTCAGCCCAGCCTTCCGCCAGAAACAGAGTCAGGTTGCTCTTCCGTGAGCCCAGAGCTCCCCACAGCGCTCGCCTGAACTTGCTCTTGCTCCTGCAGCCCACGGAGACTGAACGCTGCATCGAGTCCCTGCTCGCCGTCTTCCAGCGGTACGCGGGACGCGATGGGAACAACTGCACGCTCTCCAAGAGGGAGTTCCTGGCCTTCATGAACACCGAGCTGGCTGCCTTCACGAAGGTGAGCGTGCAAAACCCAGGCCAGAACTCTCCAGTGACACGCGCTTTGGCCCCCGTGCAGCAGTTAAAGGCTCTGACCCCACAAGCACCGGCCACACCTGGGGCGGGGGGGGGTTCAGTGAGGGGGTCCTTTACATCAAGGCAGACATCGAGTCCCATCGCTTTGGTCTTTTGCAGAATCAGAAGGACCCAGGTGTCGTGGACAGGATGATGAAGAAACTCGATTTGAACAGCGACGGGCAGTTAGATTTCCAGGAGTTCCTGAACCTCATCGGGGGCATTGCAGTTGCCTGCCACAACACCCTGGTTGTTAACACCCCTTCCCCTTAGCCCTGGCTGCTGTGACTCCCCCGCTGCTGTGAACATTCCTCGAACAAGACCGATGCAACGCTGGAAGGAGTGCCCTTAAGATGGGGACATCCCCATTCCTCATTTTTACATATAAAATAAAAGGTTTAAAATCCTAGCGTAAGGCATGGTTTTATTGCAGCGTTATGAGCGAGGAGAAAGCGCTGGGAAAGCAGTCAAGCCACTGAGGGAGCAGGATCTCCAGGTTCTACCCTCTGCTTCTCCACTGATGCGAGAACATGCGTGTTCTCATCCTTGTCACTATGATCTGTCTGGCTTCGGAGATCCTCCAGCCTGTTAAATACTATGGGGAAAGGTACAGTAACACTAAAGGCTACAAATACGCAAGGTAAATGCAAAGACAGGAACATTACCAGTAAGGATAATTTGAGCAGTGGCAACAGCAATTACACACTAATAATTAGCAGAAGCAGCCCCTGCTGGCATGATAAATTATTTCAGGACTACAGCCTCCATTTTCTGGAAACTTCAAAACCTTCCAAGTTTGGTAGCTTAAAAGTGCAAGAGAGGGGAATGGGGGGGGGGAATGACAGGAAATCAAGTCTAATCTCTCTTCTATCTTAGTAAGACCAACTGAGCTACAAAACAGGAAGATCAAGATGGTCAACTAACTTTATTCATGAGAGAAGCTGATTATTTTGAGAAACGTTGCTAAGACAACAAAACAAAAAGTCAACACTAGCGCTTGGATGCCGAGCTGCTCTTTTGCCACTTCCGAGGGCAGCAGGGACAGGCTCTGCGCTGGCCCTGGTTCCACACAGCGCCGCGCTCCCCTGAGAGCCAAGCTCTGTTTCTCCTCCTCTCCAGGCTGCAGCAGAATCTTTGAGCTCTTCTTTCAGGAGCCCAATGTTAAAGGACGTAAAGGGGCAGTTGCCACCTCTCAAGCGGCTTCTACAGAGCGCATGGTGTGGTAACCAGGGCTCAGCAAGAGCCACTCACTCTGGAAAAGATCTGCCTTGAGACAATGGTACAGAGAAACCTCACATCAGCTGGATTTGGAAACAGAAACGCAAGTTGCTACTACTTGGAAGCAGCTAAGAGTCTCACTACAGCATTCCCGGGGGGGAAGAGCAGGTAAGACACAGCACAGGCACGGCTACACTAAAGAGACTAGACGAGAAGCTGGAATGGTGGGAGGTGAAAGTTTCCACACTGTGCTGTGAAACGGGACTGTTTCCCTCTGATCTCACACCTCCCCAGGACAGGCATGCCCTAGCGGAACTGGAGCGGGCTGATCCGCAGCCCGATGACATCTTTGCCGATCTCCGTCACCTGAGGAATAAAAAGGAGATGATTAACGCTTAAAAGCAACTCAACAGCCCAACCCCGTACGCAGCATTCAGAGCCTAGACGCTTCTCGAGAATGCACGCTGCCGATCCCTGCAACGTCAGTCCCTGAAGGCAGCATTTAAAAGCCAACAGTATTTCACAATTCCCAAACTGTTCCACCTCACATGCCAAGTCCTCCAACGTCCAACTTGACCCACAAGCCATGCCAAGTCAGTTTAGGGGAAGCATGGGGGAAGCTGCTGGAGGGGATTCTCAAGGGCAACATCACGGGTTAGGTGGTAACAGAGGTTGAGACTCCCTTACTGTAGTGACGCGGCAGATCTGCCCATGAAACTCGGGGCAGTAGCAGGCTCCGCTGAGTGGACACTTCTCCACGGGTTTGCCACGATAGATGGGTCGGTAAGAGGCGGCACAGATGTCAAAGGGGTTGTGCATGTCATAGTTGAGCTGGTAGGTGTCAGTGGGATTCTTCTCACATGCTGACAAGATCTTGCGAGTCTGCAAAAAAAAGCAACGCCGTTGACCCAAGGGTAGCTAGGACGCAGTTCAAATCGGGTCTGCCACAGCAGATATTTCTGGCCAGGCACCTCACAGACGTACCTGCTGGGCCACCTCAGGCTTTGGACCCAGCTCCAGCAGCCGACGGGCAAAAGTAGCAGCTGTCTTGAAGTTTTTGAGTTTGAAAAAGAGGTTGAGAGCTGTACGCAGCACCAGGATCATGTGGACAGGCTGCAGGTTGGAGTGGGTGAAGTAGGCAGCCATCTGCATTAGAGAGAAGGAGGGAAAATAGGGATAAATCACTACTAACCACATGAAAAACTGGATGCCCTGAAAACGCTTCAAGAAACCCCTCCCGGGTAACCACTGCCACATCTGCTTGAAAGGAGGAAATGGCAGAATTCAGGATCCCCGATGCCTTTTTAAACCCAAAGGCTACTTCCCCCTCATCTCCCTCCTAGTGAAGAAATTCACAGAGTTTCTATACCTCGCAGATTCGCTTCTGCTGCTCCAGGGTCTCTTTGGGAAGCTTCTTCCGCTCAATCTCCATCGAGAGTCCTACAATATACTCCCGGCAAATGGCTATCAGCTGCTGGGCCTTTGAGAGAGGGAGACGGAGTCAAGTATTTCGCCTCCTGCCCCGGAGGCATGCAGACAGCGGACAAAAGAGTCTGCCTCTCACCTCAGCAATCTCCTGCTTGTTGTCCACCACCAGCAAGGGCACGCTGAGCAAGATGGAGCGGAACTTCTCCACGGCCTCCTCAAACTTGCCAGCCGTAGTGAGCTGGTAGCACAGCTGCAGGCGCTGGATCAGGTCGTTGAGTTTCAGTCCAACAGCAGGGAGGGCGTTCTTCAAACCAGCTTCTTTCCTGGGGGCACCAAAGAGGGGTTGGGGGTACAAATGGGACCACTGCAGACACCAGCAAGAACACGCACACCGTCAGCTCGACTGCAACTTGTCAGAAATGTTTTGACCGAGGGCCAAGCTGTTTTTCTTTGCCATTAGCTTAGCACAAAAGACATCTGTGCTTCCATAATTCTGCCACCCACAATGCCCAGCTCTGTCTGCATTAGCGCAGGCTGGGAAGTCTGGCTTATTTTTCTACAGTGGCTTCCAGGCACCACTGTAAAAACACACCTGTGGTTCTCTAGATGCCTCAGGCCAGCTTTGACAGAGGCAGAGCATTAGTGCTAGAAAACACAGCATCCCAACTGCCTCACCCTGGTTTTAGTCTCTAAAAAAAATATGAAAGCAGTTATTTAACATCTTTATATCTACAGGCAGCAGAAAAATCCCAGTGAAGACAGAATGCTCTGTATTTATATCCCTCCATATTTATATCGAGCAAACAGGCAGGTTCCTCCCTTCACAACAGAGGGAGGAAACATTGCTGGCTACAACTGGCAAGGAGTCTGGGAGGTATATGGCACAAGAGAAAGAGCACAGAAAAGGAGGTAACCCGATTGCTTACCAGTTGCGATGTGGATATCCATACATGGTAGGGAGACATGGCAGGGCTTGGTAGGTGGTACGGCCACGGGCATAGGTCTGAAGGAACAGCTGCTTGTAGGGTCCGAAGTTTGTTACTCCTACCTGATCATGGAGGAGCTGAAAGAGACATTGATCTGCTGAGTAAAAGTTGTCTAGGGCTGTACAAAGGCTGCGCAGACATCACTCAGGCTCACAGCACCTCTTATTTTATACCCAGAGAAAACAATGCACAACATGATACACAACAGGACACAAAATGAAGCTTCAGATCAGAGACAAAAATACACAGGGACGAGGGCACAATCTTTTCCCTAGAAACTCCAGGGGAAACTTACCCTCATTGCTGTCTCAAAGGAGCCTGCCAGAATGTGGTCAACGGGAAGCTGAGAATTGTTACACCACACCTACAAGAACAGAAGGGAAACATATACAGGAGGAATTGTGTATACACACATATTTGTCTTACCTGCCCTCATCACCCCTAATTCCCCTTAACAAAGTCCTTATGCTGGGCTCACAGATGAATGCTAACAAGGACTAAACCCAAAAAAAAGAAGTGCCAAAGTGGAAAGTTTCTGAGAGAGGCAATCAAAGATTTGTGACACTACCTGAGCTGGGCTGGTGCCCTTGGTGGGTGGCACAAAGAATCCATCCTCTGCTGCTCCTGCCGGACCAGCAGGAACATCCTGGGGAAACAGAGAGAGCAGTGATTAGCGTGGAAGTTTCCAGCACCCAGATGAAATCAGAGCTGGCAACAGCTGTGGTGACCAAGTCTCTGAAGAAGCCCAGAACACCTTTCCCACCCCACCACCACCACAAGCTGTCATTGCCTTCCCACGTAACTACAACTGGGTGACTTCAGAAGCCTCCCAGAAGCCTCCTACCAGTTCAGGGGGAAGATCCAAATCTTCTTCGACTTCCCATCCACCTCCTTCTTCCTGTCCTTTACCTAGACCTTCCTCTCCAAAGCCCTCTCCAGCATCCACAAAGCCATCTGCATGGAAGGGGCAGGGGGGAAATAGTCAGAGCTCTTACACAGGCACACACTTAGACTTCTGCAAGAAAAAACTCTTGGATTCACCCACCTTCATCCAGCTGCAACTCTGCATCTTCTCCCCAGCCCTCGGTGCCAACAGTGTCGATATCAATATCAGCAGCCAAGGCACCCCCTTTGCCTACAAAAAGGGCAGAATCCTTCATTTACTCATCTCCAAGTGGGTCAGGTGTTCAGCAAAGAATTATGTTGGGCCAGCACCCTCCCCTCCAAATGTCAAGTCCCATCTTGTGCTAAAAGGCCAAAGATTTGACAGATTTGCCAAAGACAGTGTAAATGCCAAGCCGGGTTCCAACCTCTGCTAGTAACACACAACAAATCTGAGGTTAACAGCAACAGATCAGGAGCCACAGAGACAAGTATCTCCATTCTGCACATCCCAGCTTAATGCAACTTTCCAAGTACAAAGCAATACCTTTGCTAGCAATTGTTCCTTCGAAGAACCCCTTGGAGACAGTCAGCAACGGCCAGTTGGTATCCAGAGGCATGACAGGAGCAGGAGGCTGCAGCAGCTTTGCATTGTGATCGATGTCTGGAATCTGAGCAAAGAGGAATGGAAAACAGTTAAAGGCCACATCAGGAAAATCCCATTCTTCGACCTACCTGCCTCTAAGCAGTGCAGACAGT